AGGTGGGTAAAATGAGGACCCGGATTGTTGTTGGGGGCAATATGCTGACTCTGTAAACCGCTTAGAGAGGGCTGAAAGCCCTATGAAGCGGTATATAAAAATCTGCTATTGCTATTGCTATATTCTAAGGTTTCAAATGATCATTAGAATGCATAGTATGTGAGCAACTGACAATCAAAATTGGAAAAATAAATGACTGTTAAATTCTAGTAAGCAAATTAATTCATAAAAGGTTGGATGCTGCAGCTTCTGACACTTATAAAATCTTGTTTATAAAAGGGCAAGTTCTACTTTGAAAGAGGAGAGTGGTTCAGTTGCCATTCTTATCATTCTCAAGATAAAGAGGATGACTATGCATCAGTAAATTTTAGGAACCTCTCAGTTGGGAAGGGAAGTTTTGTGGACAAAGATCCTTTGCTCATTACATATGAAAAAGTGGAATTAGTTCTGTGATACCTACAGGTAGTCCTTGACTTACCACCAAATTGGGGCCAAAATTTCAGTTGCTAAGTAAGACAGTTGTTAAGCGAGTTTTGCCCCATTTTAAGACTGCTTGCTTTCCATAGTTGTTAAATGAATCACTGCAGTTCTTAAGTTAGTAACACGGTTATTAAGTGAATCTTGCTTCCTCATTGACTTTGCTTGTCAGAAGGCCTCAATAAGTGATCACATGACCCCACGACACTGCAACCATCATAAATATGGGTCAGTTGCTAGGCAGCTGAATGTTGATCACGTGATCATGTGGTGCTGCAATAGTCGTAAGTGTGAAAAACTGTTATAAGTCACTTTTTCAGTGCCATTGTAACTCTGAATGGTCATTAAACAAACTTGTAAGTCAAGGACTACCTATACTTCTAACACATTGACTTTCAGGTTTTATAGTGACTGAAATTCCAAGTTATCCCAGTATCTGTGCATTTATGAAAACATAGAAACATGCTCCCTTTATTATATTGATAATTTATTACATATGAAGGTGCATCTAAAACAGTTCCATCATGATAAAATGTTATATACTTAATATGTTTTTGTTTTCTCCCTAGTGTTTAAGGAAAAACCCAAATATCCCCCAAGTCAATCTCAGGCTGTTCTCCTGGATCCATCTTCAAAAGATCACTCCTATAAACAATCAATACTCAATTTGTTCAGGAATTTTCCTTTTATTCTTTTGCTGATAAGCTATGGTGAGCATTTATTTAACTTAAAGATGTGTGTACTAAACATAGTTTTGTTTTTATAACCTGGCTTTCTTCTTGTACTTTAGAGATTTATTTGCTAAGAGATATTTATTAAATTGATATGCCACCCATCTCCCTATTGAGTTATGTAATTGCTATTATAAATGCATATAAAATTTTAAATTATTAATATTCATGTTAGAAGCATTAAGATTAAACATTCACATTAATTCTGTTATACAGATATTATTCAATTTAAGCACTACTGCATACTATTCTGAACCTGTATTAATATTGTTGAACTTTTTAATTCTGTGGTATATAATGTTTAATTGTTCAAAAATAAGGTAATGGATTTTGAAATACAATGTCTATTTATAATTACTTAAATATTTGTGGGAGGAAAAGACAAATGTAGCAAAATTACTTTCTCTATTTGTAGCATTTTTCAGGAAACTTCAATATGTTGTCTAAGTTTCATACCATTCATACTGAGACAGTAGTAGTATTTGCAGCTTAGAGCATAATGTAAATTCTGAGGATTGTCCTGATACCATTGGGCTATTGTTGGTGAAGGAGCAAGAGAGCCATAAGAATGATTCCTAAATGTGCAGTGACGTAGCTGTGTTTATACAGTTCTCTCATAAGAGAATGGGAAGCTGTCACTATTCTATATAATTTGGAATATTGTGGTAGACCTGACAAGATCAAGTCATGTCATGCTTCCTCTCTTTTGACCTCATAGAACCTCGTAGAACCCCAGCCAAAGATTTATTGAAGAGCTGTTGAGTAATGTGAAACTGGAGATGACGAAAGTGTTGGGGCATTAGACTCGAGTCTATTATTATATAGCCATAAGACTATTTGAAAATTACTTTTTTCAGTGATCCCTCCCCCGCTAGATTTTTGCCTATGGCAAAAATGATGAATGGAATTTAGATTTCACTTCTACTTGTTCACAGTCCTCCCCATAGTTCATTGACTGTTTTGGTATCTCCCTTTCAGTATGCTGTGCAGTGCTTCTGTTTATGCCTGTCTTGATGGCAAGTAGGAGATGAGCCCATGCAGGGCAAAAAGATATTCTGGGGGTCTAGGTTTCCTTTCCTTTTCAGATGTTCTGTGTTTTATGAGTTTGGCTTCATTTATTTTCTGTAATGATGCCAGTACTTTTGATAATTTCATTGTAGGAATTATGACTGGAGCCTTTTACTCAGTGTCAACTTTACTAAACCAAATGATATTAGCTCACTATGAGGTAAGTTTTTATAGAATTCCTTATTGAATCAAAATTAGCGCCCTGCTTGTTTTGTCATTGCCAATTTTGATTTGTTCAGGAGTTAAGCATACAGGATGTGGGAGATCTGTCATTAGGGAAAAGAATAATAGTTTGATATGCTATCTGATTATGGATTATTTTATTTTTATCTCAGATAAAAAGGTTGAAATTTGTAGAAGGAATAAAAGATGGGTTTGTCACTCTGAGAATCATGAAAAATCATGAAGCATTTCATCTTCCAATCTTTGAGAATACTGTCTTAAAATACTGCAGTTTTGTAGACTTAGGTTGCATCTATTTCCTTATTTCTTTATAAATCCTTGTTTTAATAAAATTGGTAATAGAATAATCTTTAATAGTTTTTTTATAATTGAAAGACTTACCTAATTACATTATCTGAAAATGAGCTATAAACTAAAATATATGGCTATGCATATATAGTTTCACTCCCAGTTTACTATTGCCATACTTTGAATTTTCTTATGCTTGGTATTTGCCTACGAAAATGATTGATAAATTTTACTAATTTTTTAATAGATTGACTTTTGAAAAAGTGAATTAGAATGAACTTGCTTAATCATTTCATTATTATGTAATTTCATAATTATATTACATAAAGGGAGAAGAGATAAATGCAGGTAGGATTGGCCTCACACTTGTGGTAGCTGGAATGGTTGGCTCTATTATTTGTGGCTTATGGCTGGATCATACCAAGACATACAAGTAGGTATATGAATGGGAATAGCAAATGTTTAAATTCATATGTTATGCTGTAGTTATAATATGAAGGCTGAGTAGTTTAATAGAGATTTTATAGAAATATATACAGAGTGCAATTCTGTCTTTTGTTAATTAGTTAAATGTGTCTATGTGTGAAGAGAGAAGTATATTTATGAGGAGTCCTTGGTGCTCTCTGAGCTTGCTTGTTTTCTTGAAGAGGTTTCATTACTCATTATATAACATTATCAGTGTTAGTCACTGTCACTGTCATTGACTAGCACTGGTGATCTTACCTACTTTGGGTAATAAAATGTCTGCAAAAAAAAATGTTCAGTGAGCACCAAGCAATCCCTCACGTCAACCCGGAGCTATAAATATTCTCCTTTATTAGAATTATGTTTAACTAACCATTTTCGGAAAGCTTCTGCTATAATTCATAGCTCATTTTCTGGTTTTTGACAAAGGACCAAAATTTCTTGGTTTAATTCTTAGTGGAATCTCTGGTTTTATCAATGCCAGGAACTTTGTGCCAAAGATCATGCCACAGAACTTCCTGCTGGCCCTCCATTGACTTCGCTTGTTGGAAGCCAGAGGGCAGTTGTAAGCTGCGGTCACATCCTTGCTTAACAACGTTCACTTTTCACTTAATGATGGCACGGGGATTGTTAGGATTGCTGCTGTTAAGCAATGACGTCACACAGTGTCACACTTTAGGAGCACATCACAAAAGTTTACAATAGAATTTCCAGTCCCAATTACTATGGTAATCCAAGGACTACCTCTATTGTTAGGTGGCAAAAGAAGGCAATGATAGATTTCCATTAAAAAATGTACATTTTTATTTGACCCCTGTGTTATGAAATTATAGCAAAAATAATTTGTGTGTTTTTTTTTCTACAGACAGACCACATTAGTTGTATACATCCTCTCTTTTGTTGGGATGGTCATATTTACATTCACGTTGAACTGTGGAAACCTTCTAGTTGTATTTATGACTGGTGGAGTACTTGGGTAAGGCTTTTTGCAATAAAATATACTGCAGTGCTAATTCAGGAAGATTAAATATATTATTAAAGTGCTTATTTTCTAGTGGAATATATTTCCATCAAAGGTGGATTTTTGTAACTGGATTTTCTAATTATTAGAGTAAGCTAGAAAATCCATTGCCCTAATAGTAATAAATACTGAAGAATAATTTTGATACAAATAGTAGGGATTATTGCTAATTGACACTTTGGCTTTTTATGTCAGTTTCTTTATGACAGGTTACCTGCCCCTTGGTTTTGAATTTGCTGTGGAAATAACATACCCAGAGTCAGAAGGCACTTCATCAGGGCTTTTGAATGCTTCAGCACAGGTAATGAGGAATTTTACTAGAATCTTGGAGTTTTGAGTTCAGATAATTTTATCACTTCAGTGATGCTGTTTTCATAAATAGGTAAGTAGCAAAGATTAAGGAAACAGCTTTCAGAAAGCTCTGAAAATCATAGTAAATATTCAGAGCTTTCCCAAAGCTTGCAGCATCTCTATTGAAAATATTTTAAAAATAGCATATATGTTGTAACAATTGCATTACTATGCAAAAAAAAAAATCACACAAAAATATTTGTCCTTTGCTGAATTAATATTGGCACTGTGAAAAATGAATTTGTGGCTACCCAGTCAACTAACTATTTTTCTCATATCTCTGTTTATGCTTGGAATAATACTTTTTCTAGAGTAAGCTATTTTCCATTAGAATGGCAGGGTAATTCTGGGGTGCCCTCCCACCCCCCCGAACAAATTTGCAGGCCATGAGTAGTACACTTTTAATATGAGAGCACACTGTTCTTTTCTGAAAACAGTGCGTAAACAAAATCCCATTTATGGGGCACAATAGGAAATAACGGGCAGAGTTCATGGAACTCAAGGAGAATTGGCAGAGTTAAATTCTGAAATGTTTTCTTATAAACAATTACAGATATTTGGGATCGTCTTTACATTGATCCAAGGGAAGCTTACAACAGATTACAATCCTCGTGCTGGAAATATTTTTCTCTGTGCATGGATGTTTATAGGTATCATTTTAACAGGTAATAACTTAAAACATTCTCAAATTATGTTTTTGTTCTTAGTGAATATGAGATCTGTCCAAAGCAGGAGTGTCAAACTCAATTTCATTGAGGGCTGCATCAGGGCTGTTGTTGACCTCGGGGGGCAGGGTGGGATGTGACTGACTGGATGGGTGTGACCAGGTGGTTGGGCGTGGCCAGCTTGATGTCACTCACTGGGTATGGCCAGGTGGGTAGGCACAGCCACTGCCCAAACTGCTAGCATATACACTGGGCTGAAGCCACACTCGCCCAATGTTTCCTCTTTGCATTGGGTAGACTGGGCCAAAGCGATGCGGGACGGCCCCTTACATTTTCCAGGACAGCCCCGCAGGCTGGATCTGACCGCATTGCAGGATGGATCCGGCCCACAGGCCTTGTGCTTGACACCCCTGTTCCAAAGGCTTAAGTCATCTTTCTTTATTTGAAACTGTAAAACTCCTTTTATTACCAAAAACATACCATATCTTACAAGAATCAAAATACAATGCATCATAACGGTAAAGCAAATAAATATTTGTCAACATTTTAAATATGTTAACAGCAAAGGAAGAGCAGTAAGAAACAAGATTGGTTAAACAGGCTGTGGGGATTTGCCTACTTTTTTGTTTGTATAGTGTCTCTATTCAGGTAGTCCTCAGCTTACAAGCATTTGTTTAGTGATCTTTCAGTGTTACAGTGACACTGAAAAAAGTTACTTATGACATTTTTTCACACAACCATTGCAGCATCCTTGTGATCACGTGATCAAAATTCAGATGCTTGGCAATTGACATGTACTGTGTTTCCCTGAAAATAAGACCCAACCATAAAATAAGCCCTAGCATTATTTTTCCAGATGCTCATATTAGCCTTACCCCCAAAATAAGCTCCAGTTAAGATTGTCAGCCAGACAGACATATTTTAGTACCGTATTTCTCCAAAAACAAGACCAAAATTAATGACCAAAAATTAATATAAGATCTGGTCTTATTTTTGGGCAAACACAATAGTTATGATTATTGCAATGTCTTGGGGTCATGTGATCACTCTTTGTGACCTTCTGAGGCTAAGTTAATGGGGAAGCTGAATATACTTAATAATCATGTTACTAAACTTAAGAACCATGTGATTCATTTAAACTCTGGCAAGCAAGGTCGTAAAATGGGGCAAAATTCACTTAACTGTCTTGCTTAGCAATGGAAATTTTGGTCTCAATTGTGGTCATGCACCTGTATCTTTTATGAATGTCTTTCATCACTATGTTTGTTCCTTTTAACCTGGATTAAAGCCTAAACTGAAAAGTTGATTAGCATGTAGGTCAGTCATAAGATCTTCCTCAATAATTTATGCATAGTATCTAAGAGAAATCAATATTAGGATCTCTCTTAAGATACACAGTATTGCAATGGTGGTGAATATCTGTAGCTCAGGTGTAGGATGAGAGTAGGGTTTCGTTACCAGGCTAGGTAATCCTCTAAACTCCACTGAAAATGTTACTTAGTCTGGTAACAGAACGTTCGGAAATCAACCCACAAGTTCAGAGAACAAACCTCCACCCTCCTATATGATATTGTATTTTGATATATTGTGATACATTTTAAGAAATATCTAATCTCAGATATTGCCTGAGGCTCTGAAAATCATTAAAGGCACACAGAGTTACTTCCTTTATTGTTCCTCACCTACAGACACAAATCTTGCCCAAATAAAACAATTACTACCTCATTAAAATATACCCTGAGAACTTCTAGAGATGAGCTGTCAGCTATTTCCTTCTCCAGCACATGGATAAATACACCTGGAAACATCTACCCACCCTCTCTCTCTCTCCCTACCTACCTATGTACTGAAAATCATTAAAGGCATGCAATTACTTCCTTTATTGTTCCTCACCTACAGACACAAATCCTGCCCAAAATAAAACAATTACTACCTCATTAAAATATACCCTGAGAACTTCTAGGGATAAGCTGTCAGCTATTTCCTTCTCCAGCACATGGATAAATATACCTGGAAACATCTACCTACCTATCCACCCTCTCTCTCTCCCTATGTACTGTATTTCTCTCTCTCTCCCCCCTCTATCTACCTACGGTATATACCTACCTACCTACTCACTCTCTCTCCCACCTATCTACTGTATTTTTCTCTCTATCCCTCTACCTACCAACCTACCTACTCCCTCTCTCTCCCTACTTATCTACAGTATATATATATATATATATCTACCTACCTATCTACACTTTCTCCCTACCTACCTAATGTATCTCTCTTTCTTTCTTTCTTTCTCTCTCTCTCTTTAGCTACCTACCTACCTAACTACTCACTCTCCCTCCCTCCCTCCCTACTGTATTTCTCTCTCTTTCTCTCCCTCTCTATCCCTCTATCTACCTACCTACTTTAAAAAAAATTGCCTCTTTAAAACCTGGGTGCGTCTTATACTCCAAAAATATGGTGGTTGTTCAATCAGTTTGCCTACTTATCTGCCTCAGTTTCATTGCAGTACAACAGCTGCTGTTCAATCCCCATGTTATCTTGATATCATCACCCATCACCAAAATATCCTCTCCCTGATCTAGATTTGCACTTTTGATTAATATGTTTTAGTATTTACTCATATAACTATTTTTCACTTTAGAAATAGCTGAAAAACATTGCAATAAAGTATTAGATATTCTGCAGAAGACTGCTGACATTAATGTGTTGGTATCTGTAGGACAATTAACAAAGCCAAACTAAAAAAAATCACCAGAGTGAATGTATTTGAATTGATATTTCATATTATCTCTTTTATTTTTAGCTTTAATTAAATCTGATTTGCGAAGGCACAATGTAAATTCAGGGATTGTAACTGGGGACATTAAATCTGTAAGTAATTTTAATCTTTAAATTTATTGTGATATAAGTTTAACTCACTTTCATTATATTGTCAGTTCTTTTGGGTAAATGTCAGAAAATATTTTTGCCTCTTTTTTTATTAGATGTTTGAAAACCCAATGCATTATTTGCTGTTTCTGAAGAATCTTCCAGTTTATCCAATTTTTATCCTAATTCTGTCTGCAGCATATGTGGAAGACGGACCACTGAGAAATAGGGTGTTGGTAACTTACCTGATACGCCTCTTCTAATAAGGTGGGCATAGCATCCATGCATGGGTTGACACTGTTCGTGCTCTGATTGGACTGAGTCTGATTACTAATTAATTAACCACTATATAACCAGTCTCCATGAGTGGTATCATCCAGTTTCCGGAGAAGAGAAAAAAAGACAGATTCCACGTGTTATCCAAACAAATTTCAACTTTAGTGATCCAAAGAAAGAGAACATTACCAATATGTCAATACAAACATCCGAAATTAGAACAAAAGCAGTTCTAGAAAGACAAGGAACAATCAAAATAAGGGCCGGGCTGGATGCTATCTCCACCTTATTAAAAGAGGCGTATCAAGTAAGTTACCAACGCCCTTTCTCAATAAGGGTGGAGATAGCATCCATGCATGGGACATACCCAAGCCGTATAACCCTCAAGGGTGGGCAATAGACTGTTCCGAAACTGACCCTTCCAACTAAACGGCCTGCAGCACTCTCCTTCTGAAAGCAGCATCAGCTGATGCGAACTTGTCAAGTTTGTAATTGTGTATAAAATGAGACGGAGAGGCCCTTGTAGCCGCCCTACAAATCTCATCCAGAGAAGCCTGCATCGCCCATGCTGTCATGGTAGCAGTGCTCCTTGTAGAGTGGGCCGTTACCCCTGCTGGCCTCGCCTCCTGGCGTGAGTCATATGCTGCTGCAATGCAACATCTAACCCACCTTCCAATGGTCGCCACCGAAACCCTTTGCCCAAGGGAAGAAGACTGAAACGAAACAAAGAGGGCTTATGAATGTCTGTGATCAACCGTGCAATCAATGTAAACTCTTAACGCCCGATGCACATCTAACCTGTGCCAACGACGTTCCAATTCATGTCTGGATGAGGGACAAAAATTTGGCAACACCGCCACCTGCGTGCAGTGAAATCAAGACCCCACCTTTGGCATAAAGGAAGGGTCCAGTCTGAGGACCACCCAATCCTCATGGAATCTACAGAGGTCATCCTGCACAGATAAGGCATGCAGTTCGAATATAAGCCTTGCTGATGTCACAGCCACCAGGAATGCTGCCTTCCAGGTAAGTAATTGTAAAGACACTTCCCGAAGGGGCTCAAATGGTGGATCTACCAGGGCCTCCAGAACTTTAGCCAGATCCCAGGTCAGATATCTATGCACTGCTAGGGGCTTTAGATTAACCACCCCTTTCAAGAACCCTCGGATGTTGGGATGATGTGCTAACAATTGTCCCCCACCCCAGGTAAATACCCAGGCGGCCACCAGTCTCTTAAGAGTGTTGGGTGACAACCCCTTCTCCAAACCATCCTGTAGAAATTCCAGAACCTGAGGGATGGTAGATTGAACCGGTGAGATATGTTTGGTCGCACACCAACAAGAAATTTTTTTCCAGGTGGCATTATAAATGCGGACCGTTGATGGTCTCCTGGAGGGCTATATGGTAGAAATGACCCTGTCTGAGAGATTGCTGTCCCTCAGCGCGAGCCACTCAACTGCCAGACGGTCAGCTGCAGCCACTGAGGGTCTGGGTGTTCCAGAGACCCCTGGGTGAGGACAACCTTGTCTGGTAGAATCCTCCAAGGTTTCGCCACCAACAGTGACCGCAGGTCAGCAAACCAGGGGCGTCACGGCCAGTGAGGTGCCAGAAGGATGATCTCTGATCTGACGCAGATGACCCTGCAGATGACCCTGGGGAGAAGAGGAATCGGGGAATGCATAGAGCAGGCCTCTGGGCCAGTGGCAGTGAAGGGCATCCACTGCTTTTGCTCCAGGGGTGCTGAACCACGTGAAAAACCTCGGCAGCTGGGTGTTGTCCGCGGTGGCAAACAGGTCGATGATCGGGATACCGAAATGCTGTGCTGAAAAAGACAAGGATGTAGACACCGTTCGGCTTGGTCAACCTTAGCCCTGCTAAGCCAATCAGCAGTGACGTTTGTGATGCCCGATATGTGCTCTGCTGAAATGGACCAGAGGTTCTCCTCCGCCCAGGAAAATAAGACATTCGCTTTTGCCATAAAATCACCTGATATAGTATCCCCGTCTATTAATATGGGCGTTGGCTGCCATATTATCAGTTAGAACAAGTCCATGTTGGCCGGAGACGGAGTCCTGAAAACTCAATAGGGCTAATCTTATGGCCCGTAGCTCCAACCAGTTAATGCTTTTCTCTGCCTCCTCTCGTGACCATTGGCCTTGTGCCATTTGTGTCCCCAAATGGGTCCCAACCGTACAGACTAGCATCAGTGGTAACTGTCACTCTATTAGAAATCCTAAAATGACACCCGGTCTCTATGGCTGGTGACCTCCACCAGTGGAGGGAGTGGCAAACCTCCCTGGGCAATGGGACCTTAGTCAAGGAAACACTGCAATTAGACTTCTGGTAGGGGAGAAGGAACCATTGCAACTCCCTTGTGTGCAGTCTAGCCTAGGGGACAATGGAAATGGTAGATACCATCTTCCCCAATAATTTGGAAAGTGTGGCCAGGGATACCCGGTGTTTCGATCTGCCTAAGACTGTCGAGGAGGTCCTCAGAAAGGAAAACCTGACCTGCCTCCGTATCTATCCAAGCTCCCAAATGTAAAATACAAGTCAGGGGGGTAAAATGGCTCTTGGCTTCATTGATGGAGAATCCATGTCCCCTCAATACATCTAATGTGAGGCGAAGGTCGTCCACCGCCTTGTCCCTGAAACTTGATTTTACCAATATGTAATCTAGATAAAGTTGCACCCTGACAGGGATGGAGCGTAAATGGGCCGAAAACCCGGGGCACGGAAGAAAGGCCAAAGGGTAATGCCCTGTACTGATAATGATGTGACATGTAACAGAAACGCAAGAACTGATGATATTCTCTCCGGATGGACACATGCAGGTACGCCTGCGTGAGGTCAACTGAGGTTAGAAAATCGCTTTCGTGAATACCTTCCAGAATGGTGATTAAGGAATGCATTTTAAAATGTCTGTACTTGACAAACTTGTTTAATCGTTTCAAATCAAGGATGGCCCTCCACCCTCCAGAGGCCTTAGGTATCACAAACAGAACAGAATAGAAACCACAGCCGGCTTGGTCAGCCGGTACCTCTTGTATAGCCCTAATCTCGAGCAAATGCTGTATAGCGGACTGCATAAGGGACCTCCTCTGTGGGTTGTTAGAAACAGGGCAACGAAGAAAGAACTTTGGAGGTGTGGAAACAAACTCCAAGGCCAGACCGAACCCGACCATGGCTCTAACCCAGGCATCAGTAGCTATGGCCTCCCATTGGTCAGCAAAAAAACGTAACCTGCCTCCAATGGGGAACTGTTCCTGAGAGGGATTAAGTTTTGCCGTGATTTTCGGTTACTGCCTCCCCGAAAGGGACGCTTAGATTGATTACTCTTCTGCTGCCAATACTGTGGTTGCCTAGACCGCTGAAAGAACCCTCCCTGTGGGTGATAACCCGAAGGAGAGTACTCCGGCTGTCCAGTTGGACCCCCATACTCCTGGGCATGAAAGGGCTGTCTTCTAGGGTAAGGAGTCAGGAGTGAGAACCCCTTCTTGGGATTGGAGGGGAGGATTTTGTGCTTATCCTTACCCTCAATGAATAGGGGTGGTGGTGAATGAATCCCCAAAAAGGGTGCCCCCTGTATATGGCTCATATGCAAGGCGCCATTTACATTTGACATCTGTTTGCCACTGTCGCAGCCACAAAAGTCTGTGTGAGGCTACCGAGGACGCCATTGCCCTGGAGGTGAACCAAGTAGCACTCAAAGTAGCATCCGCGGTGAATTGTACAGCAGCTACAATCTTGTTCAAGTCCTGATGGGCCCTTGAATCTCTGACAGGGATCCACCCCTGTAGCTGTTGTAGCCAGCTAAGGTTCGAGCGGGAGAAAAAGGAAGCCGCTGTTGAGGCTCGAACTGCCTAGGCTGCCTGGTGGCCCTGCTGGATGACCTGGTCAGCCCGTCTGTCCTCTGGCTTGAGTATGTCCTCTTGCACCGCTGGCATTGTGGTGTTGGTGTACAGGGCTGCGACTTGCAGGTCAATTGTTGGCCACAACAGCGCCTTGTTGAGATAGTGTGTGACATTATAGAAATGTCTATCGTTGGCTGACGGAGCTGGGCCGGACGTAGGAGTGGACCACTGATGCTGAATAGTATCGACAAACAGCTGCAGGGCCGGAATGGTGTCGTCTCCAACTTGTGCTCAGTAAACCAAACACTGGTCAACTGGGAGTGCGATGAGGGTTCCTTCACTGCTTGAGTTCCAAGCTCCGAAGCCGCCTTGGCCTTGCATAATAAGGGAGTGAACAAGTTAGATGGAAATAGGCCTGTGTAGGAAGGTTTATCAGCGACGGACCCCTCCTCATCCGACAGGTCAGCCTCCCTGATTTCGCCCTTGTCGGTGGTAGTGCCTGTGCCTCCTTCTCAGATCGATGTTGGGAGGAGGTATTCGAGTGCTTGGCACTGGAAGAGGCTTTGGATGCCTTCTTAGTCTTTGAGCTCTTACTGCTTGAAGACGAGCTCTTGTGGGAGGCCTTAGCCTGAGATGAGACTGCCCCAGCAGGGGAAAGAGAAGCCTCTGCCATAGCAAGGAGACCAGGTTCAGATTCAGCAACCTCCCTGCCAGTGTCTGAGGCGGGCTCAGGCACACTGTCATCGGCCATACTCTCACCAAGGCAAAAGATGGCAGAAAATGGCATCCACAGTTCTTTGTGGGCACTCTGAGCTCTGTCCCATTCAAAATGGTGTTTGTGCCCTTTTTCGCACAGCTGAACCCCCTCAGAATGGCGCTGAGCCTCCCAGAGAAGCGCTAGGCGGCCTGTGTATTTTTCAGCCTAACCGGGCGCTCACGATTGTCCTGCTCTCTCCCTGTTGGCGTGCTGCTTCTTTAAAGCGAGAGTGGCCTTGCACACACCGTTGGAGCCGGTCCGGAAATTGGTATGCTGCCCAGCCGCTGCGCAGCATTCCGGGCTCTCCCTGTCTCTGCGGCTGTCAGTTTTAAAAGGAATGGCACACTGACCGCTTTTCTCCCAAGCGCGCCGTTTAAACTAGGCAGGGAGCCGATGCTCCTTGTGATGCTGAGGGGGGAGATGCGTGGCCTCTAGGCAGCAGCCCTGTGGCTTCAGGTGTCCAGAGCCCCAACATTTGGATCCAGGATACTCACAGTTGCTGCAAGGAATCAACAGTTTTGAATATCAAATTTTTAACCAATTAAGGGAGAGATAAGGATAACACGACTCTCCCAGAGTGAGTGAGTCGGAAACTCCACTCATGGAGGCTGGTTATATAGTGGTTAATTAATTAGTAATCAGACTCAGTCCAATCACAGCAAGGACAGTGTCAACCCATGCATGGATGTTATCTCCACCCTTATTGAGAATGAAATAGTACAGGATAATATAATTTTATAGACAGCACTCTCTTCTATCTGAGTTGGAATTTAACAAGTATTCCATTTCATCCTGGAAATTCAGTAGCTATCGTGTTACATATTTTAAAATGACATGAAAAGCATTGTAGTATTTCCTGAAATTATTACCTATTCTTTCATGTCTATGTACATAAATAAATTGCAATTATATAAGTAATTATCAATAGGTTATGTTCCATAGACAAGGGACCTAACCCACTAATAACTCATAGAGAATAATTTTCTATAATTATTTATATTGGGGTACATAATGGTCCCCAAAGCCAATAATTATTAGGTTGTTTAATCTAATATACAAAACAGTTGCAAGTAATATGATACATTTATGGAAGGCAAATGTTCAGTTGTGTATCAAATGAATGTGTATTCATCATTTGTATAAGAATATTAGGTATAATATGCTAATATTTAAATGTATGGTAAGACATGACTTGGAGGTTTCTCAATATAGATGAAAATATGACACATTTGTATTTAATACACAATGAGGTTCACCTCATTTTCAAAAGGATTTGGACAAAACATAGTATAGTAGTACCTTAGTACTTAACTGCTTTGAAACTCATCAAACTTGGCACTCAATGCATTTTGACATGAAAATTTTATCCCAGACTTCTCATTTGTTACTTGAAATGCAAGCTAGAACTTTGGTTGGCTGGCTTGTGATTAATACATTACTCCTTATGTGTAAAATTTGGTGCTTGTTCTTTTTTGGCACTGGTCGCACCCCCCGCACCCCAAACAATTAACGATGAACACTGAGGTACCACTGTATACATTTCCATTGTTTTGAATGTTTCATTGGAATTTAGGGAATACCCTTTTTTTTTACTCTGATAATATTCCATGCTAGCTTCTCACTAAATCTCCTATGTTCTGAATTTCCTTTTATTTCCTTGACAGATACCCACTAACAGTCCTATTGAAGATGAACACAATAAAACATCAAAAAACCAGTCAGAATCAAAAATGAAAAATGAAAAAAACACTAGGCTCACAACTGACATCTCTGTTATAATAAAAGAAAGTTAATGGGAGAATCACAAGAACTATAAGCCTAAAAATTGTGCTGAATGGCAGGAGTTAGCAGTGATTGTACACTAGATAAAGGAAAAGATTGTATACACTTAATGAACACATTTTAACTTTAAAATGATAATTTTCAACAATTGTTTTAAGTTTCAGTGATAAAATTCCCAGGAATTTTCCATTTCTTAATTGGAAATTGTGCACTTTCATAAAATATATTATGCTGTAAATGATAAATTAGAATCTCTTTTATCAAAATCTGCCGCAAGCTAATCCACACTTGTAATTCTTATATAGAATGTGTGCAGTGAGCAATTTGATATCAATGAAATATGTGTTTTAACTTGTTTTTATTTGAAGTACTGCCCTTCCTATAGAAGGGATTGTCTTTAGCACAATAGACAGTATAAGAAATTCATTTTTTTGGATGTGATATACTGTAAATCCTGGATTTTGCCAATTTTTTTGGCTTTGTAAGAGTTATGGCTTATGAAATCTCTTTGTTTTGAAACACAAATGAGTGAATGGTAAACCCCCAATTTCCAAGAAGTATTTTATATTCTAAGTTATTGAAGATGAAGGCAATTTGAATTTTAGAGCACAGAACTAGATATTCATTTCCTGGATTTTTTTTTACATTATGAAAATGAACATACATCTTTTTGTATTATGTGAATCATAAGAAAGTATTGCCAGATCATAAAAAGGCATATGCATGCCATTGAGTTCTTTGCATCAATTTTGTGAATTTGTGAAAAAGTAAATGAAGATAATTTCTGGCAAATACAATATAATAAAATAAAGCAGAACTCACAATGGACTCTGTAATATTTCATTAGTTAGGAATGTGTGTAGATTTAAAATAACTACTGCTTAACAAAAAGTAGATTTACATGATATGGAAAATTGCCAGTGGGTGTTTTCAGCCTATTAGTTCGATAGAAGTATGACAATATTTTGTGTACATTTAAGAAGAATTACCATGTATTAAATGTTCGCATCATGTCCTTTGGCTTACCTAGAAATAAATCAACATAAACCTTTAGATCTTTTTCACCTTTAAAAGAAGGGTGAAAGTGAATGACTTGCTGTTTTGCTGAGTCCACTGCTCCTGATGTTCTTGTTTTACAAGTAAGCATGGTAATAATAAGACTTCATTTTCACATGAGGAATAAATGTTGCTTCAATGCTAACATATACATACACCTGTGCCTAATAATTTGTAAGGAAAAACATAATCAAATCACATTTCTATCCCAGATATCAGAAAAAAACTATATCCTCTTTTTCTTTCTTTAAAATTTATAGGATGTAAAAGTACTTAAATTTCGCTAGATCATACCAATATTTGCAACAATCAGTATTTATCAAAATGGCCAACAAATGGTAGCATTAGTAGTATTTATTGAAATAGTGGCATTAGAAGTATTTACTGTTCTTTTCTGCAGTCTTTAGTGAGACAAATGGAACAATTATCCCAAACTCCTACATAACTATTCTGTTGTTCAGCAATCTGCATTTTTTTATCTTGTTGAATGTTGTATTTAAAGATAACCTTATTCTCGGTATTGAACAAACGTATTATATGATGAATAGATTTATATAATTTATTAGAACAGTTCAGTGGTTGTCTGGTGGCTAACTAACTAGCTTGCTTGCTTATTTATTTGTAATCACATTTCTATGATATGAACTCCAGCCACTCAGCTGGACAGCTTAATATACACAAACAGCAAAATAAAACAAAACTGCGAAGTTAGCATCATTTGGAGGGAATATCAACCAACTCTCTCTCCCCCATCAGCAGAGATGGCCCTCAAAATAATCCTAACCTAAGGCATAGAAGAAACACCATGTTTTTAACACAGTATAACACACTGAAGGGCTAATATTGTTAAAACTGGTGTGCTGTGTTAACTAAGTAAGTGTTGATGAGCAATACATCGGCCCTGCTTTGCCTCATCTAGGTGGCTTCACAGTGCATTTAAAAGTTCACAGAGCTGATGGAACTGGCTGCCTCCAATAAGATTGTCATGGTCTGCCTAACACTTATGCCAATGACATGGTTCAGCAATTCATCTTAAGAGGAATTGTAGCAAAGATATCTGTGGATGAGAAATTGCATGCTGGCAATTCCCATTGCGGACTACATATAGACTGACATGAACATAATTTGACAGTGTTAATGATTCAGGTGCTACGAAGCAAAATTCTCAAATAAAACGTCAGTACTAACCCCAATCAGTGCATTCCTTGAATAGCCATCAAGTTATTTTCAATTCTTAGCAACCACAGATAATTATTCTTCATAACGATCTGTCCCTAATCTGGTTTTCAGCATTGTTATTGTCATGAAGTCTTTCTATTGTGTGCGCCTGGTCATCTCTTTTTCCTCTTTCCTTATCTTTATTTAATGTGTTTGAGGTAGAATAATTTGATTCTGGTGATTTTTGCCTCAACTGAGAACTTGTTCTTGATTTGTTTGATGGTCCATTAATTTGGTTTTTTGGCAGTCCTCACAATTCATAGAAAACTTCTCCAATACCAATGTTCAAAAGCATCAATACTGCTTATTAGATTTTTTTCAAATCCCATTTTCATTACTTTATAAGTAACTTAAGGTGGCAAACATACATAATATTCCTTTCTCCTTCTATTTTTCCACAGCAACCTTCTGAGGTAGGTTGTACTGAAAAGAGTGACTGGGCAGTTTTCATGCCCAAGGCAGGACACGAACCTTAGAATCCTGATTTGTAGGCCATCATCTTAACAACTATACCAAACTGGCTCTCTTCCTATCCTGCTTCAAAATCTAACTTTCATACCCATAGAGTGTCACAGGAAATATCACAGCACAATTTTAAACACCTGTAGGTATGGCGACATGGCATTTGAATGTTTTTTTAAAAGCCTTCATGGCTGCTCTACCAAGTGCTAGCCTCCAATGTATTTGACTGCTTGTTTCTTTATGCTGTTTAATCCTAAAAGGGAGAAACTATCAGGCACCTTGAATTTGGCATGGAGCTAATATGAACTTGATCCCTGAATTTGAGAGAAAATGTTGATTCTAGAAGACATTCCATAAGTGACAGATTTATGGCTTACATTGGTCTTTCTTGGCTGGATTTGTATCTTTGTTAAAACTTGCAAATGTATTCAAAGATTTTTAGAATATGCTGTCTATTGTGTAATTGCTGAAAAAGCAAGTTGTCACATACCAAAGAAATGGCTTTCGTTAGAACATGTTTTCTTAGTTTTTTTTTTAAAAAGGCCTAGACTGCCCTGCTAAAAGTGCTAATATCACCTTTTAAAATGCTAACAATGAAGCCTAAAATTTGAAACAACACCACTTTGATATTTTCATTGCAATTCTAAGGCTGATAGTTCTACTTATTGTCATTAATTTGATGATTATATGTAATTTTAATCCCATTGTTTTCACTTTATAATATATAATATAAGAAATACCAATGCTTTGATGGTCATTTCAAAAAATCCTTTCTAAGTGAGCACTTAGAAGCCAAGAGGAACATATATGGCATATTTCAAGTTTGTATGCTTTACAGTCCTGGAGATTTCGCGATGAGGTGTGAGTGGTTTTCACTTTTATATATATAGATATATTGACAGCTAAAAAATTCTGCACTTATTGCAAGAAATGGCATCTAGGTACTGCTGTGCTGAAATCTGCTTACAATCGCTTAAAAGTTTTCTTGCCTAAAGAAGAGAGTTTCTTGTTAGAGATGTCTGAGAGTGCTAGTAGGAATAGATAAGCTACTTATGATGAGAAAACGTCAATCTTTCAACTTAGTTGATGGTTCCTAATGGGAAGGCAGTTCAGAATGTTGCCAGCTATTCCATAAGCTGGAGTGAAGGTGGAGTTTAACTTTTTAATGGCTAGTTTTTTCTGTTCTTTCTGTAATACGAATTCCATTTACATCTAGCAATATCGTCTTTTTCTTAGTGTGACGCCTCCAGCACAAAGCACGTTTGTGCATAGAGACCATGGTGAATTAGAAACATGTAAATAGCTGAATGTCTAGATCGTTCCTGCCAACAAGTTGGTATCGTAGTTATAGCTGTACATAAACAGCATTATGGAAAATTAAGTGTATTTAGAGATTGGGCTACACGCTTGCTACTATTCAATTTTATCTTCATACACAGATGTCTTCCCTTTGTTAAAGCTGAACATATTCTGGGACTGAGACGTAACACTGAAAAGATTCTTTTTGTGAAAAAGAACACCAGTTCAAGTTATGCCTGGAATGTTAGGACTTCTGTGAGCTATAGGTGAAAGGATTAGTGCACTTAACATTATCAAAAATATGTCTACTAAAAAAGCTGAGCAAGACAGGATTTACTCTCAGGCTGCTTTGAAAAGAAAAAGTTCTAATACTATCCCCCTCCCAGCTATTCCATCTTTCTTTATGAATTTAACATGGCTAGAAAACAGAAGATACTGTACAGTAAAATTAGAGCTATAACTACCATATATAATTCTTTCTCACTCTACACACACATGCACACTGTGGATAAAAAGTCTACATAACCTGTTAAAATGCCGGGTTTTTGAGACGTAAAAAAAAATCAGACCAAGATAAATCACTTCAGATTTTTTCCCCTCGTTTAATATAACATGTAAGCTGTACGATTAAATTGAAAAACAAACTGAAAATGTTTGTTTAGGGTCACTGTTATTGGGCCATTGCTGTTAAAAGGTGAAATTCCTCTTAATCTTTTGCATTTTAGTAGAGGCCTGAAGGTTTTGTGCCAAAATTGACTGATATTTGGAACTATTCCTAATTCCCACCACCTTGACTAAAGCCCTAGTTCTAGCTAAAGAAAAGCAGCCCCCAAATATAATGCTGCTGTCACCATGCTTCATTGTAGGTATGGTGTGCCTTTGGTGATGTGCATTGCTGTTTTTGTGCCAAACTTACTTTTATGGCAAAAAAGATGAACCTTGGTCTCATCAGACCATAAGACATTTTTTTCAACATGCCCTTGGCCAGACTTGGTGTAGGCTTTTATAAAATGTAGCTGGTCTTGGATGTTCTTTGTAAGAAAAGACTTCTTGCCATCCTGCCTGCAGTCCATATATATTCCTGAAGCTCCTTTAATGTTGCTGTAGGACCCCTTGTAGCCTCTCAGACCACTTTTGTTCTTGTTTTTTCATCAACTGGACATCCAGTTCTTCATAATGTCACTGTTGTGCCAAATTTCCCCCACTTGTTGATGACTGTATTCACTGTGTCCAAGGGTATATTCAATGCCCTGGATTTTTTTTTTGTACTTTTTTGCTGACCGATACCTTCCAACAATGAGATTCCTTTGATGCTTTGTAAGATCATGCCTTTGATGCCCTTTGCAAACCGTGGCTTTTGCTGTAAGAGGCAGCTGAATAAATGTCAGAAGAATCCTACTAAAATAGCTGAACTTTATGTGAGCTTGTTCAGTCACTTCAACTGATGGCAGGTAAATACTGCTACTATTTAACGTAAGTTTGGATGTGATTGGTTAATTCTGAACACAGCCATATCCTACTTATAGGTGTGCACAGACTCATGCAGTCATATTCTAGTTTTTTTTTATTCCTCCACTTAAATATTTCAGTTTGTTTTCCAAACTGCTTATATTATATTAAAGGTGGAAGAAAATCAAAGTAATTTTTCTTGCACTGATTCTTTTACATCTCAAAAGCCTGGCATTTAAACAGGTGTGTTTAGATTTTTTTTACATCTGTGTGTGTGTGTGTGTTAAATTTGGAAAGCACTCATCTCACAGCTATGCTGGGCAGTGTACAAGACATTAAAACATAAAGGCTAGATATAAATGCTATAATAGGAGGCATTTGAAACAAGAATAGAATAATTAAAATTAAACAGGCAGGAAGAACCTTCAAAGCCCCGTCATAAGAAAATCCCAATAGAAAACAAAGGCAACAACACAAGCAGAAATTCTTACTTTAAGATCAGAGGTTTATTGTTTCTAATAATTTGGAATATTAGAAATGAATAGATATAAAAGATATAATAGCAGTAATACACTGCATTAACATATTAATGCAGAAGGCCAATGAGAAATAGCAAGTCCTACAAGGGCTGCTATAAATCAAAGAGCCTGAGCCAATCTTGAACCCTATCCTTTATAGTGTTCCTTTAACCACATTCATGCTTCACAACCTCACTGTCACTTTCTGTGAACACCTGTGCCCAGAACTTTCAATTCCTCATTTCCAACAGTTTCATTCTTCCTGTTTTAAACGAATCCATACAAGTGCATATTTTGCAAAAAACATTTTTATCTCTCTCTTCTGAGGCCTTCTATTATCCATAGGACTTATTGAATCTAATAGATCAATAGGCCATATTTCTTGATTCTCGCAGCCCTAACCAGTGCCAGCGCCTCTGTGGCCTCAAGGGAGTCTGGCGCTCTCTCTCTCTCTCTATATATATATATACACTGGAGAATTCAGATGAATTAATTGCAAAATAATAAAGTGGGATATAAATAATCAAACAGTTTACTTAACTTGATGTACCTCGTGGGTACGCCTATAAATTCTTACTTCCTGAGGAAAGCCCCCCGTCCGAGCTCGTATTGATAGGACTGAGGGGGTTTGAGATGCTAACCGATTAGATTTCCCGGGCTGGCCTTGTTAGCCTGCCGACCTTCCGACCAATCAGAAGTGTGCAACGCCTCTATGAGCTGCTTCCCGACTCTCTTAAGTCCGCCTCTCTTTGTTGCGGCGCCCAATGGGGACGCTCCGAATGTCGGCAGCTGCCGGGTAACATGGTTACATGTCAGAGAGTAACACTTGATCATGGAACATGGACTAAGGCGAAGGCGTCCGAGTCAGCTGCAGGAGCAGCATCAGCCGCAGCCGCCTGGAGAGGCTCCGGCGCAATGAATCCTCTCGCGATCGGGTAAGACTAACAGCAGCGCAGCGGGAACGGGAGAATGGGTGGGGTCCTGGTAGCCGAGCGAGCGATTGGGGGGTGAGGGCGAACCCTCTCCTTGAGGAAAAGAAAAGGCTTGCGGTTTCTGGGCCAGACAGCCCCCGCAAAAAACCCTCGCCCCCCTTTGGCTTCGTTTCACACGCACGTATTCCAGCACTTAAACCATCCCGCTGGGAGGTTGCCAAAAGGATGGGGAAGCGTGCGTGCGATTTCCTTTCCAGCAGTCCGATCCTGGTCGCTTGCGCGCCGTTGTGCTTTCCAATCTCCGAACAATAAGGAGTAGGGGTGGTGAACGTGGGAATGCGCACGGAGAGCTGCTGGAATCTCCCCTCAGGACTCTCTTTCTGTGCACGCGTATGCGTGTGTTTCCCTTTGTGGGTCCCGACTCCCAACCAAAAGCTGAGCCGGGATGCGGCGCCAACCGTCCTCTCTTGCAGATTTAACCGAGGATCTGGGCTTTGAAATCTAGGCGCTATAGCCCGCAAAGCTGAGACGTCCCGTTCCTTTTGTGAGACATTTCTCAGACTGAAAGGGAGGCTTTTTGGCTGGCTGCTGTCGCCCCCTGCCGAGAGGCAGTCTGAAGATTGCTGTAGCAGAGCGAGCTCTTCTAGTGTCCTTTTGTTTGACAAGCGAATAGAGTAAAATCGGGCTTTTGAGGAAAGGCCCTGCT